AGAGGAGAGAGAGAGAGAGAGAGAGAGAGAGAGAGAGAGAGGAGGGGAGGGAGGGAGGGAGAGAGAAAGAGAAAGGGAGCGGTGAGGAGGAGAAGCAGAGTAAAGACAGGACGATGGAGATATAATATGGAGTGAGGTTGTGGTGAAATCGGGCGCTAGTCAACTAAAAAAAATTAAAAAATAAATCGAAGAAACTATAATTGTACCCCCTTGGGTAATTTGGTTCGATTTTTTCTTTTTTTTTTCTTTCTTTTTTTTTTTGGGGCTCTCTCTCTCTCTCTCTCTCTCTCTCTCTCACTCTCTCTCTCTCCCCCCCCCTTGCTCTCCAAAAATCCAAACAAACAAAGATAAAAACAAAAAACAAAACAAAAACAAAAACCAAAGCAAAAAAAAGAAGAAAACAATAAAGAAAACGAAATAAAAAACAATATCAACAACAAACAACACTCACGTCTGACCACTCCCCTTTCCGCCATTGCGGTGGTGGACACTTCCGGTTGATACAGGCCATGCGCGTCGCTGGCTTGTCTCCCGCCTGGCAACGCCGCTCGTCCAGATAGGTGGACGCGTCACTGGACATACAGAACACGCGCCGGCTTTTCTCACCAGGACCACAGGATGGGACACACTAGGAGGAAGGAGAGAAGCATGGCATGGTAAAGTAAAAGTTCCCTATTCCGATCCGGACATTGGGGATTGCCTTGTTAGTGAGACAACTTCCTGGGCCTTCGGTATATTGTGGTAGGGTGGCCAGTTACTTTCCACGTCGCCTTTACTTCCCCAACTCAAGGTTAGGTGCCCATTACTGCTGGGTGGGCTTGAGAGAGCGGAAAAAAGCATGTGTCCGAACCGAGGCTCGAACCCGGACTTTCCGCTTCGGAGACGAGCGCAAATGGCATGATGAAAAGCAAAAAAGTATGGGTTTAACACCCTTCTCAACAATACTATGGTGCTGATGATGATGATGATGATGATGATGATTACTATTTTGATTATTATGATAATGATGATGATAACTTCTGCCTTAGCTTTCAGCTCGATTCGAGCAGACAGGAGTTTACTACT